GGGCACATCCTGGTCCACCTTAGTCTCAATCTCCCTCCAATTTGCGTGTCACAGCTGCCGGAGGCTGAATCCAATCTTAAGAGTTTAATAATGATTCCCGGACTCCTTCATCTCAGCTTAGTCCCGCTGTTTCAGCATTGTGAAACGCTTATGGTGTCACGTGGCTGTAGATCATATTACAAGGGGCTTGAGTGTAGAATGGTCTTATATTAGCAGGTAAGCAGGGACTCTGCCCTGCAATATATGTAAACCGTAGACACTACAAGGATATATCGTTTGTCTACTGTGGAAATACCACCTTCATACATTTGTCGTGTTTTTACTGCGAGTATTCAACTATACACATACACCTGCCGTATCTCCCTTAATTTAGCCCCCACATACAGTCACTTGCCTAGTTTACTCACAGACCATCCTAGCCCTCGAAACACCAAACTCTAAGGCTAATTCAGGAACTCTCGGAGTTGGTCTCAAAGGACGTCAGATCTATTTCTGGTTAGTTCCCCGCTATATGCAATTCATGCCCGGAGCGCAAGACAATGTCCAGAAAAACAACATAGATACGGAATACTCCGTACAGTCTTTATTCAGCACACTATTGTAGCATAGACCAAGCATCGCATGTCGCAGTTTTGATTCATTTCGGGATCCACTTGCAATTATCAATCTGGTGGATCAAAAGATGATCTATGGATATGTGAATTATGGAGTACATGTAGAGTATAGTGACCTATATTCCCTAGTAATCAAAAAATAGACCAGCTTCTCACTTGTTAATGCGGTTATAATAGAAGCCAAATATAAAACATCCACATCCTACACATGCAAAACCCCTATAGTGCCGCCAAGAGTGGGGTCTAATACGCGTGAGCCCATCACATCGCTATTCCTCCAAAGCTTCACTTGCGGAGCACGTCCGCTCATCTACACGTCTCCTCTGTGGCCACCCGGGCCAATAGCCATGTCTGAGCGAAGAAAAAGAACAAGCCACTCGAAGAGCCGCTCGGGATGTATAACATGCAAGTAAGTAATATAGGTACGGTCCGTACCCCCCTGGACTCTGCGCGACGTGGAGACAGGGCCCCCACGAAGATCTGCCAATATTCACCTATTGTGGTATAGACATCGGCATAAGAAATGCGACGAAACCCAGCCTGAATGCCGCCAATGTGTATCAACGGGAAGGATATGTGATGGATATATCGAATTACCCGATAGACGAACACGAGCTTGGAGGGAGCAAACTGTACGTCAAACAGAGACCCCGGAACCCCGAGAAACGACTCTACATACACCCAACATTCCCTCTACCTCCGTTTTGGTTCCTCCGGTCAATGCAAGCCAGGTCGGTCTCGCCTGGAATGAACGCTGGCACTTGGATCTCTTCCGCAAATTCACAGTGCACCAATGTTCTGAATATTTCGAAGACACCTTTTGGTGCAGTTTTATTCACCAAGTTCTGGAAACCCAACCCGCAGCTCGATATGCAGCCATAGCATTCAGTGCCCGACATTGGCAATACGATCAGGTCGAAACAAATCAGATCGCTGACCGCGAAAGTATCCTGGCTCTCCAGCATTCGTCCAAGGCAGTTTCATGTCTTCGAAAAAGCTTGATTAACGACACGCCTGATCGCGCACACAGGGAAACAGTCCTCGTCACTTGTTTGATCTTGACCATGTTGGCTCTATTCCAGGAGGATAAATATGCTGCTCGCTGTCATTTCCTTTCCGGTTATAAATTGTTCCAGTATTGGGAAGCTGTGGACTACGATGTGAGCCCGAATGGTCGGGCTCTGAAGCAGGCGTTTGTTCAGCTGCACTTGCACTATATGACTTCCAATAATCCTAGATTATTTGTTGATAACCAGCGCTTAGTTTCCCCTCAAGTTACCGACATATCTACCAATGTGCCTTTGAGTGGTGATGCAATGACAAGAGCTCAGCGCTTTGTGAGGGTCATTGCGCGAGTGGTTATGCAGTGTCTTCCTTATGGTGGATTCTGCATCGGGCCTGCAGGCTGGGCTCTTGGCCGCGGCGCAACGACTCTTTTATGTGTGCTTCGGATGTGGAGAAGTCAGCTCAAGTCTTATTCCATGCAAGGAGGAGTTCTGTCGGGCTTTGACCATGATATTCTTACTTTACTGGAATTATGGACCGTGGTTATTGATATCAAGCTGGCTGTCTGCGATAGCTCTGAACCCCTCGAAGTGGCATATGATGATTATGTTGAGCAGTTTCGAAACGTGATCGAGATGGCAGAGTCACTGCTACAATTACAATCCAATGTGGAGGCTACCTTGCCGGCAATTATTATCAAAACCTCTCTTGTGCCTGCTCTGCTATGGTGTGGAGTGAAGTGTCGCGACTCTCTAATACGAGATGACATTATTCGACTCCTAGATCGAGCGAAAGGGCAAGATACTGCGATATCTGCAATATTATTGGCATTACAGAGAGTGATAGAATACGAGTCAGAGGATGTGAAGTTGGGAACCACAATCCCGGATACAGCTCGCGTCGGCTCAGTGCAGCTTAACATCCAACCAGGGCAAGACCAAGTTGATCTCTGGTATCGAAGATCTCGATTGGATCCCCGCCTACATGATGATCATGATATATGGGAACACCATATCATATCTGTTTAGTTTAATATCATATCTGGCCCAGAGATTAAGTACTTGATAATAGTGCCAATAAGCTAGAGCCAATAGGGCGAATATTGTGTTGGATAAACTAGGTTCGGAGACATACATGAGCGGCCTATATCAATAAAAACCTCATATGCTTCGATTTGAAACATGATTACATCGGAGCTTGTTACATATCAATTCAAAAACAGACTTTCATTGGCCCCCGAAAACTTTCGCTTTCTTGATTCCCGATCTCTGCCAGTGAACCCGCTTGTGAAGGGGTTTACAAAGGTCGATCAACAGATTCGCCATCAGTGCTAATTGCTTAGCGTCCACTATTGCATTGTGGTTGTGCCGCGAGAGGGGGTGGTCATCTCTAAGAGCAGCAGAAACACCACAGGCAGGGATAGAGGAAATTGCCCGCCTCGGAAGCACTCCTACCAGGTCCAGTTGTCAGTAGATATCAGTCGGTTTGATTGGCTCCAAGCACTTACAACATCCCGTGTAAAGTTTTCGCGAAACTTCCTCGGCTCCTGCCATAGACACAGTGCAGAGAGAAGGCCGGGGTCGTAGGATACATGAGTGACAGATATGCAAGAAAGAAGGGGATGATTGAAGTCTGCTGAAAGTTATATATATAAATATAAATTTATAGGAAGGCTGGATTGTGTGGCTGAATAGGTGTAGCCGCAGAAGGAGAGATGTAGTAGAAAGAAGGAGCAGGAGGAGGAAGTAGAAGAAGAAGAAGAAGAAGAGGAAGAAGAGAAAGAGAAAAGATGATTGTATATGTGAGACATGGGAAATCATTGTGCATGATTGCTTGCCAAATACTGGTTGGGAGCCCTTCAGTATCAAAGTTGATTATTTGAGCACTAGAAGCATTCACTCAGGAAAGAAAGCGACACATAAAGAAACTTCGATTTGCACCACCTCTATATATCGAGCAGAGCGATGTGAAATATGAAAGTGAATGTAATAGATTATGAACCACCACGAATGTTATTTTTTAAAAGGTAGTTATGGAAACTAGTAAGGAGTAGAATTCCAGCCATCAGACCGCGGAAGTTTGAACCATTTCTTCCTCAACTTGCAATCTTTCGAATCAATAAGATCAACACTACAACCAGCAACCTCATCATACCACGGAATGTCGAGAACAACCTCGCTAGCCATCATATCACAACGAATCAAAATCTGCCAACAGTTTTTGAGATACTGAGCCAGCTCTTCCCGATTCTCTAGATGTAAAGGATCATGCTCAATCTTCAGTCTCCTCTTCCTCTCATACCCCGCCAATTCCATTATATCCAATGCCAGCTCAACTGGAAGCCCCATTTCGCACAAGATGCCTTTTACACGAGATGTATCAGATTCATTCGGCTGATATATAATGTTACAATCATCGCGTTCGCTGGCTGGCTTTCCAAAGGCAAGGAATTCATCAATCGGCACTATCCCATATACGCCCCCTTTAGAATGACCGACCCCATCAGTGTGATGGGACCATGGTAGCCAGTGTGCATCGTTACTTACTCTGAACGCACAAAATTGGCAGTTATTATCGCCGGTACCGAAGAATCGCCGATGAGGATATGTCACAATTTCCGTCATACCCCCAGCCGTGCAGGCACTGAGTGTGTATTGATAGAGCTTAGTACTTCGGTAGTCCCGCTCTTCGCTCTGTACAGAAGCTGGATCCCACATTCAGGAAAGCAGTATAGTAAATTCAAACACATAAAGGCAGTGAGGGCCTTCTTGTAGACCAATGCCCATCCCATTTCCGGACCCTATCACAGTCAATAACCAAGTAATATGAAGAAATTATAAGTTCAATTCAGTCTATCGACCTACCCCACAATGACACTGAGTAGCTGAGCACCATTTTTTGATACCCACATCATAATGGGCACATACACGCAGAATGGGATACATCGCGCCGTAGAGGAGTAAAACCTCTAAGATTTGGAGAATAAAGAAGCTATCGTGGTACAGCTCGAGGAAGTGATAGCATGAGGTACCTGGATCGCGCCTAAATGCGGAAGCTTGTCGTTCCTCGGGGATGAGCGCGGTGCCGTGGGATGGGACCCAGGATGTCTTTTTCTATCGATTATCTCGAGCATTTGGCTCACACGCCGGATTGTGGGAGTAATCAGGGTTGCTGTTGCTTTATCAATTATTATGTCTGTAGGAGCTGGTTTGGTGTAGCTTTTTGGGTGTCTTCTGCGCTCGCATCTTGAATGCTCATTGATGTTTTTTGCGAATGCCTTGACGAAGTAGGTGATCTCTGTGCCTTGGGTCGGTTTCATGAGGGTGGAGATTTGTGACTTTGCAGGAGCAGGTGGACTCTGATCCTGATATCCATTGTAGATTTGAGGCTGGGAGATTCCAAGGGATGTTGTATGCTTGATGCGTCATGGCGGTGTTGGCGGAGAGTTGTCAATAAATATTTTAAGGATAGGAGGCTCCGATATATATCTGAGGGGGCAGTACTGCCCCATGAGCTTGAAACATTCAACATTTTTTTGATGGCGGCAAATGAAAGTTTCAATGAAAATGTAATTTGTATTGTTGTCATATTTCCGACAGTGATCTCATATATAAACAAAAAAGCTCGCCAACAGGGTGCATGTTCCAAATATTTCCAGCTGGCCACATAATACAAGTGACCCAGCATGACAAACAAAAGAAAAATCGTCAAAAGTCATAAAAATATGTACAGACGCTATATGCTATACAGATCAAGTAACATGTCCAACGAAACACACCTACAGGCGGTGCTGAACGGGCGACTCTGGCGCCGGGATGGAGGCAGTAATCTTCTCAGCAGGCTCATCCCACTGCAAGACATGAGCCATCTTGTTATATGAGTCGATACCACGGCGAGCATGGTCGGCAGGAACAAAGGGATCAGTTTCACCAAGGGTACGGCTAAATAGCTCGAGAGAAACCCAGCCGCGGAAACCAAGGTCTTCAAAGAAGACGCGGGCAACATCCAGAATAGGCAGGTAACCACCGCGCGACTCCTCGAAGGGGAAGAGACGAGCATTGCGAGACCAGTTCATGCGCACGGGATTGCCGGCAACGTAGAAAGGATGCTTCTCATCCAGCGGAGCAGAAAGACGCTCACCATCAACAAGCTGAACATAGAAGATCTTCGCAGGATCGATGTTGGCAGTACGGAGACGGTTCAACGAAGCCGCCAGATCAGCAGCGGCATTGGGGGTACGTCCAGAGGGAGCAGCAGGGTCAGCGTAGACGCGGCCAGCGATGTTAAATGAGTCCAAGCAGAGACCAAAGTTAGGACGATCGACATCACGGACAACCTCCCATGAAGCCTCCCAGGTATCAACGTGATCACCCCAGCAGAGAGCCTCGTACACAAAGCGGAATCCAGCACCGGCACCCAAGTCTGCCAGACGCTGGAGGTCACGAACGATGACCGTGTGGTCACCAGTTGTGCGCGCAGCTCCGGTCTGAGGGTCTGGACCGAGGAAGTTGGAGGGAACTTGGATCATGTCTGTGCCCAGCGCCCGCGCCAGGGTGAACCACTTGGGGAGCTTCTCGTTCACGAGACGATCTGACTCGGACCGGTCGATGAGTCCTTCGTACATGGAGAATGGCTGCAGGCAGATGATGGTCATACCGAGGCGCTCACACATCCGCCGTGTCGACTTGGCGGCTTCGAGGTGGTCACCGTTGAATACGCGGTGGGCATAGCAGTCCAAATCGTCGAAGAATAGTTCGATGCCTTCGAAGCCGTGAGCTGCGGCTTGCATCAGCTTGCAGGGGAGGTCGTGTACCCAGGGCCGGCCTAGGGACATGGAGGCAATGCCCGGGCGGTTGAAAGCCATTTGTTATAGTTTGACTGTGGATAAGACTGTAACTGGTCTTTTGTATATGATGAAATAGTAGAAGCCAGTTGATATGGATGTTCAGGCTAGTAATGAGGTAGGTTGAGGAGAAGTCAGGAAAAGTAAAATTTTAAAGCGGAATGAATGATATTAGGGCTATGAAGAGGAGATAACAGCGTCGCGACAAAACAATGTCCCCTCGAACGTTCTGCCTTTTTCCGTTTCTTGTTAAGAGGTAAGCAGGCTGGTCACATGCGCGGGTAAGCGTTATGCCCGTTACGTTTACCCGCGCAACGTTCCGCTCCACAGCCAACTCCACCACCTCCACCATCCCAAGGCCGCGGATTATTCTTTAGAAGTGCTGTTGCCAGAGTGCCTGGTCCCCAACATTATTTCATTGGACCCGCCAAGCAAGTCAAACCCGAGGCCCCGAGTCGGACGCGGTTCAGGGTCCGCAATGTCCGGGGCAATGACACATTCTTCACCGGGGTACAAAGGGCGAACAAAAACATCCAGATTGAATTTCCGCTTGAACACTGACAGCTACAACTTCACATTGCCAAACAATTGAACCAAGTTGCTTCTTGCAATTCAGTCAACATGTCCATCAAAGTTGCAATCGTCGGCGCAGGCCTCATCGGCCCCCGTCACGCGAAATCCGTCATCTCCAACCCATCCACCGAGCTCACAGGCCTCGTGGACCCAATGCCAGCAGGCGAAGCAACATCAAGAGAGCTAAACACCAACTACTACCCAACAGTAACATCTCTCCTCTCCTCCCCCAACCGCCCAGACGCAGCAATCGTCTGCACACCAAACCACACGCACGTTGAAGTCGCAAAAGAACTCCTAGCGGGCGGCGTCCACGTCCTACTGGAAAAGCCAGTCAGCGATACCCTCGAGACCGGCCGTTCTCTCCTGGAGTACGCCAACGCCCCAGAGCGCGCCCACCTCAAACTGCTAGTCGGCCACCACCGCCGCTTCAACCCCTACGTGCGAGCCACCAAGTCCATCCTAGACTCCGGCTCCCTCGGTCGCCCAATCGCCGTGAACGGTCTGTGGACGCTGTACAAGCCAGATGCATACTTCGCACCGCCCACTGACTGGCGCGCCTCCAATGAGCGCGGCGGCGGCGTCATCCCCATCAATCTCGTCCATGACATTGACCTAATGCACCACCTCTTCGGTCCAATCGTGCGGGTCACAGCCGAGCAGATCCTC